CTGGTCCTTTCACTTGCTCCTTTCTCACTTTCTATTGGAGCAGTTGGAGCTGTTGGTAGTGAAAGCTCCTCCTCTGCTACAGAGGACATTGTCACAGGCACCCCCGAAATTCCCGAGGCCCCCTGTGTAATAGTAAAAGTTCTAACGGAAGGTGGCAACGGGCAATCTGTTCCTTCCATATTTATTTGCTGTGGATTAACATTACTTAATCCTTCTTGGTGGTCCTAACCACTCTGTTGCAGCAGCGGCAACTCTTTGTTCATCTTTATGTGTGGCTAATGCATTAGCCACTGCTCTCCATGGCCTCATCAAATCTCCCAGTAAACTTAACATCGTTCCTAACATCATCAAACAATTTATGTCCAAATTTACGCCACTCTGTTTGTTCAAAAAACTGTATCAGGATTTGTAAAACAACCCTTAGCTATCCCATATACTAATAACCCTGGCAAATCTTTTTCTACAATCTATATCTAAAATGCTCCGCTTTTCTAAAAAGCATTTGAGCAAATAATACGCCGCTTATCTTTTCATACCTTTATATACGTCGGTTGCAGCATTTGCAAACACCTCGGCGGCGCTTTTCCGGCGGGACCCTAAATAGGCTCATCCCGGGTGCGGGGACTCCACGTCCTTTTCACCTTCCCGGCGTGGGTGCGGGGATTCTTGTCCTTTTCACCTCCTGGGCTGCGTTGCACGACCGGCTTCCCTTATTCCGTCCAACCGTGGCCCTGGATCACTGCCAGCAGTGTCCAAATCCCGTTCAGACCGGTCCCTGTTCGGGCGCCAATTTGTTGCCGACGGAAGGAAGACCCAGCACATCAATATGAGTGAACAGTGAACTTCAACTTTAATGGATAGCTCAGTCGTCTTTTATCTAGTTCGAACATAATCAACTCATACATATTGCAGAAACTAAGCTCAGGACTGGCTGACACTTCCCAGGCTTTTCAGTCTGGTCCTCCTTCTTTTGGCTACCTGTCCCACCTTAGGGACTTTCCCCGATGGCCCAAGGGCATCGTGCCCTTGAGCCTGATTGGCTCTCAGCCAGCTGAATACGTGCCAAGGCTCATGTGAGTTGAGTACTGTGCTTCACCAGCCCATTGTCTCCCAACTGCTCAACATTCACATGTCCTGCCTCACTTAACGATTCCTCCACAAACACTAATCCAAAAAAATAAGACGCTCAAAGCACTAACACAAAATATTAAGATGCTCAAAACCCTAACGCAAAAAATTAAGATGCTCCAAACCCTAACCCAAAAAATTAGGACACTCAAAACCCTAACCCTGGAGAACCTAACCTGAAAAAATAAATAAATAAATAAATAAATAAATAAATAAAAATAAATTTTAAAACCCTAACCCTAAATAATTGACCAAAAAGAAAACCCTAAGACCCTAACCCTAAAAAACCTTTCAACACTACAACCCATAAACTCTAAAACCCTAACACACTAACCCTGAAAAACTTAAAACCTTAACCCCCAAATCCCTAAAATACTAACCCTTAAAAATCCAAACCTAAACAACTGAAAATCCTAAACATAAACCCTGAGAATACTTACCCTGAAACCCAACCCTAGTGCCCTACCCCTGAAACCTTAAAAGCGTGAATCAATCTTTGGAAAATAACATAGGCGCAGGAGAGGATCTCACTACGCTTACCCTGACTCTGACTCTGACCCTGACCCTAACCCTAACCCTAACCCTACCCCTAACCCTAAGCCTAACCCTCTAACCCTAACACTAACACTAACCCAAAACCTAACCCTAACCCTAACCCTACCCCTAACCCTAACCCCTAACCATAAACCTAACCCCCTAACCCTAACCCTAACCCCCTAACCATAACCCTAGCCCTAACCCTAACAAACCCTAACACTAACCCAAAACCCTAACCCTAAACCGAGCCCTAACCCGAACCCTAACCCTAATCCTAACCCGCCTAACCCTAACCCTAAACCTAACCCTAACCTCGATCCCGAACCCTAACCCCCTAACGATAACCCTAAGCCCTAACCCTAACCCTAATGAACCCTAAGCCTAACCCTATCCCTAACCCTAACGCTAAACTTAACCCTAACCCTAAACCTAACGCCCTGACCATAACCCTAACCCTAACCCAAACCCTAACCCCAAACCCTAACACTACCCCTAACCCTAACCCCTAACCCTAACCCTACCCCCCTAACACTACCCCTAACCCCCTAACGATAACCCTAGCCCTAACCCTAACGAACCCTAACCCTAAACCAAAACCCTAACCCTAACCCTAACCCTAACCCTAACCCTTACCCTAACCCTAACCCTAACCCTAACCCTAACCCTAACCCTAACCCTAACCCCCTAACCCTAACCCTAACCCTAACGCTAACCCTAACCCTAACCCTAACCCCAACCCTAACCCTAACCCTAATCCTAACCCTAATCCTAACCCTAATCCTAACCCTAACCCTAACCCTAACCCTAACCCTAACCCTTACCCTAACCCTAAACCCTAACCCTAACAACCCTAACCCTCGTGGGAATGTTGTGGGATCTCCTTCTCTGAGGCGCCCGAAATAGGATCCTGACCCCAGTGCGGCGAGCACACACGACACCCGGGATGGAGCCAAAGGACCCAAGACTGAACCCGGTCCCCAGTGCAGCTAGCACACACGTCGCCCAGGACCGGAGCCCAGGGTCCACATACGGACGCCTGCCACTCTGGACTGTCTGAATCCCCGGTCCCCGGGACTGCGTAACTCCGAGCCAGTGAATGACAGCCTCCACGTCTTGACACGGCTGGCAGTCACACCGCTTGTGGCCGGACAACCGTTTCGTAGCATCTCCTTCCCCGAGGCGCCCGAAATGGGATCCGGACCCCGGTGCGGCGAGCACACACGACACCCAGGATGGAGCCAAAGGGCTCAGTAAGCTGGATCCACGCTGCCCGTGGAGGGACACTCGTGTCCTGTGATGAAATAGCGGAGCCGACCGAGGTCCAACCTGGACCTAGTGCGGCCAGCATATACATCGCCCAGGACTGGAGCGTGGGTGTTGGGAACAGACAGCTGCGGCTCCGGAGAGGACAGAACCCCAGGTCCCCACGACTGCCAGCCCACGAGGCAGCAGATGACAGCCTCACACTTCGCTGCAAGTCTGGCTCCCATGCCGCTCATGGCCGGACAACCGTGTCATGGGATCGTTGTCCCCTGTCCGCCAGAAATGGGATCCGGACCGCGGTGCGGCTAGCACACACGTCACCCAGGATTGAGCCTAGGGGTTCGGAAAGCCGGACACACGCTGCCCGCGGAGGGACACTCGTGTCCTGCCATCGCCATAGCGGAGCCGACCGAAGTCTGACCCGGACCCCAGTGCGGCTAGCACACATGTTGCTCAGGATAGGAGCGTGGGTGTTCGGGATGGACAGCTGCCGCTCCGGACAGGACAGAACCCCAGGTCCCCGCGACTGCCAGCCCACGAGGCAGCGGATGACAGCCTCACGCTTCGCTGCAAGTCTGGCTCCCATGCCGCTCGTGGCCGGACAACCGTGTCGTGGGATCGTTGTCCCTAATCCGCCCGAGAAGGGATTCTTACCCCGGCGTGGCTAGCATACACGTCTCCCAGGACCAGAGTCTAGGCATTCGGGAAGAACGGCCGCCGCTCCGGACTGGACAGAACCCCTGTCTCGGGGACGGACAGTTCCCGAGTGAGCGGACCACAGCCTCCTGCTTCGCGGCAAGGCTGGCACCCACACCACTTGTGGCCGGTCACCCGTGTCGTGGGATCACCTTCCTCGAGCCACCCGAGACAGAACCCGGACCCCGGCGCGGCTAGCACACACATCGCCCAGGACCGGAGCCCAGGGTCCACATCCGGACGCCTGCCGCTCTGGACTGTCTGAATCCCCGGTCCCCGGCACTGCGTAACTCCGAGCCGGTGAACGACAGCCTCCACTTCTCGACACGGCTGGCAGCCACAGCGCTTGTGGCCGGACAACCGTTTCGTAGCATCTCCTTCCCCGAGGCGCCCGAAATGGGATCCGGACCCCGGTGCGGCGAGCACACACGACACCCAGGATGGAGCCTAGGGGTTCAGAAAGCCAGACCCACGCTGCCCGTGGAGGGACACTCGTGTCCTGCCATCAAAATAGCGGAGCCGACCGAGGTCCGACCCGGACCCCAGTGCGGCTAGCACACACATCCTTCCTTTGGGGGCACTTTTGGATGGTCCAAAGGGGCTCGGAACACGTTTTCTGGGGCCCGATTTTTTAAAACATCTCCAATGCTGGCTAGGGCATTGTTTCGGGTTGCTCGGAAAGAGCGAACACGGAGGGTCCAGTTGCATGTGGGGCTGCGTAAAGGCTCCCCTGGGCAGTTCAGTTGTACCCAAAGCCTTCATTTTGGGGCACTTTTGTATTGGCGAAAGAGGCTCGGAATGCGTTTTCTGGGGCCCCGATTTTTCAGTCGTCTCCGATGCCGGCTAACGCTGTATTTAGGCTTGCAGTGAAAGAGCGAACACGGAGGGTCCAGTTGCATGTGGGACTGCGTAAATGCTCCCCTGGGGAGTTCAGTTGTACCCAGATTATAATTAACTGGCAAAAAAAAGTCCCAAAGCATTAATTTATTGTTATTTGATGAGATTTTTCTCATCAGAATGTGGGACCCTGCAGGCTGTTCATATTCCCCTATAGGTGCCAAGAGGGGTATAGGACAGAAACGTGCTCTGGGGAAGGTTTTCCCTACAGTTTTTCCCTATAGAGCTCCCTGCTCTGCCCATCTGGACAAGGCAGATGAAACTGGGGAGATTTATTGTTATTTTAACCCCATTTTTAACAGATAAATCAGAGTTTCGGGGGTAGCACTGGAAACTAACATGACATGGGTGGAAGAACCAACGTTGGGGACAAAAAGGAACGTTTTTGGGGTCAAAACCGTGTGTTTTGGGGCAGATTGGAATTTCACACATAGGGTTGGTGCAGGCAGGAGAGGAAGAAAATTGATTGCAGCTGGAAATTGACAGCTTTTTTTTTTCTTTTAATTATTAGAAGAGTTTTTGCTTATTTACATGTTTATTAAGGTCAGGCTAAAAGGAACAGCTGCACACACCCCACGCAGACATCCCACCCCCAGAGGCGACAGCCTACACCCCCTGCACCCCCCCCACCACAAACGGGGGGGGGGGGAGGGGAATTTGGGGGGGGGGTCCCGGTGGTCCCGGGGCTACTTCTTGTTGGCGTGGGCCGTGCCCACCATGCACTCGTTCACCTGCGAAGCGAACGAGGGGGGTGAGGGGGGTCCAGACCCCCAAATCTGCCCCATAACCCCCCCAAATGCACCCCCGTATCCTAAAACTGCCCCAAAATGCCCCCAAAAGGCCCCCCACTAACCCAAATCCAACCCAAACCCACCCCAAAAGGCCCCCCCGGATCCCAAACCTGCCCCATAACCCCCCCAAAAGGCCCCCATATCCCAAATCTACCCCAAACCCACCCCATAACCCCCCAAAAGCTGCCCCATAACCCATAACCCCCCAACTCACCCCCATATCTTAAATTTGCCCCATCACCCCCCAAAACCCACACCAAAACCCCCAAAATCACACCCCCATCCCAAATCCATCCCATAATACCCCAAAACCTGTCCCTAACCCTCCCAAACCTACCTCATAACCGCCAAAAACCTGTCCCCCATATCCCAAAATCTTCCCTTTATCCCCACTAAATCCCCCCATTCACGCCCCCATATCCCAAACCCACCCCCTAACCCCCCCCAAATCACCCCCCATATCCCAAACCTGCCCTATAATCCCCCCAAACCCACCCCAAAATCACACCATCCCGAACCTACCCCATAAACCAACCAAAACTTATCCTGTAAACCCCAAATCTTCCCCCCATATCCCATAACCCCACTAAATCATCCCCTTATATCCCAAATCTGCCCTATAATCCCCCAAAACCTCCCGAATCACACCCCCATATCCCAAACACACCCCATAACCTCCCCCAAATCCCCCCCATGTCCAAAATCCAAAACCCATACCCTGTACCCCAAACTCACCGTATAACCCCCCAAACCTGTCCCCCATATCCCATTACCTGCCCTCCTTATCCCATAACCCTACGAAATCACCCCCTGTGCCCCAAATTTGCCCTCTAACACCCCAAACCAACCCCCCCATCCCAAACCTGCCCCTGAACCCATCCCCACGTTCTCCCCCCCGAGCACCCCCAACACATCCCACATCTCCCCCAACCTCTGCCCGCAGATTTCCCACGGCACCCCAAATCACCGTGTCCCAAAGATCCCCAAATCCACCCCAAACGCCCCCCATACCATAATGTTTACCCCCCCCCAAAATTCTTCCCCCCAAACCACCCCAAAACCCTCCTCCCCAACCTCAACCCTCCTCCCCAAGCCCTCCCTGCTCCCTCCCTCCAAAACCATCCCCAAAAACCACCCCAAAACCCTTCCCCACCCCCACCACAATCCAAACCCTCCCCTAAACCCCCATTATTTCCCCCAAACCTTGCTGGCAAAGCGCAGGGAGTTGAGCAACTCGGCGAAGTTCTCCTCCAGCGGCGAGATGTTGACGAACATGAGCCTGGGTGGGGGCGATCCACGGCATAGCGGGGTGTCCGAGCGGGGTGCACCCTACACCCTCGACCCTAAAACCACCCCGTGACCCTAAAAAAAACCCCGCTCACATTTTGGTGTTGCCCCTCAGCGAGTTTTGCAGCAGGTAGGTCAGCTTGCTGTTGCGGTATGGCACGTGCGGCTCCTACGGGGACAAAAATCGTTATAGGATGGGGAGGAAAGTGACAAAATTTTGGGGTCGTGGCCCCAAAATCGCTCTTTTTTCCCCAAAAAATCAGCACCTTGTTGGAGATGGCCATGATGACCAGCCCCAGCGTGGCCAGGCTGCTGTTGATGGCTTGGGTCTCGCGCAGCCGCTGCCCGCTGGCTTGGCATTTATCCAAGCGCTCGCTGCCCGTCAGGTCCACCAGGCTCAGCACCACTGGGTTGGGGGAGGATTTCGGGTGAGGAAGAGGAGGTCAGCACCCCCCGGGGAGGAAGAAAACCCCAAAAAGAGGCGCTCACAGCTGCAGCGGAGGGCGCGGGAGGCGTTGGAGCCCTGGATGTGGAGCTGGAAGACGCAGTGGCTGCGGGACGAGCGGTCGTTGAGCGCCGTGCGCGCCACCGAGCGCTTGGAGGCGGCCGTCTGCAGCAGCCCCAGCACCTGGGGGGGGGGGGGGCAAATTTGGGGTTAAAAAATGGAAAAATACGTCAAACGGACTCCGAGGGGGGTTTTGGGTTTCTTACCTTGTCCTCGGAGGCCACGGGGACGCAGCGCAGGTTGGGGACATGCAGCTCCTTGCTGGCCGAGCTGATGTGGCAGATCTCCAGCTCGCCCCCCCTGTCCCCCCCCAGCAGGTCCCGCAGCGCCTCGTTGTAGATCTCCAGGAAGCTGGCGCTGAAACTGTACTTTGGGGGGGTCAGGGGGGCGCAAAATCCCCCCAAAAAGGGGCCCTGAGTGCCTAAAGAACCACCAAAAGCCTCCAAACCCTATAAAGAACCCCAAAGAGCCCCCAAAAGAGCAGACCCAAAGTCCCCAAAGCTAAAGAAATTCCCCCCAAAACCCCACCCTAAACCCCCCCAAAAGCCCTGCTCCCCCAAAAAAAGCCCCCCAAAGCCCTAAACCCCCCCAAAAGCCCCCCAAATCCCTAACACCCTCCAAAAAAAGCCACAAAAAAGCCTCCAAAAGCCCTAACTCCCCCCCCAAAGAAGCCCCCAAAAGCCCTAAACCCCCCTAAAGAAGGCTCCAAAAGCCCTATATTAGCCTCCAAAAAGCCCTAACCCTCCCAAAAAGCCCCCCAAAAGCCATAACCCCCCCAAAGAAAAGAACCCCAAGAAGCCCTAAACCCCCCAAACACCTTAAACCCCCAAAAGTCCCAAAAGGCTCAAAACCCCCTCAAAAAAGCCCCTAAAAGACCAAATACCCCTAAAAAAAGCTCCCCAAAGCCCTAAATTAGCCCCCAAAAGCCCTAACCTCCCCCCAAAAAGCCCCCCAAAAGACCCCAAAGCCCTAACCCCCCCAAAAAAAAGCCCCCAAAAGATCTAAATTAGCCTCCAGAAAGCCCTAATCCCCCTAAAAGCCCCCCAAAAGCCCTAACCCCCCCGAAAAGTACCCCAAGAAGCCCTAAACACCCCCCCAAACACCTTAAACCCCCAAAAGGCTCAAAACCCCATACAAAAATGCCCCTAAAAGACCTAATCCCCCCCAGAAAAAGATCTCAAAAGCCGTAATCCCCCAAAAAAGGCCTAACCCCTCAAAAAAGCCTCCCAGAAGCCCTAAGGCCCCCCCAAAAGAGCTAACACACCCAAAGAAGCCCCCAAAAGCCCTAAGCGCCGCCCAAAGAAGCCCCAAAAAGCCTTAACCCCCCCCAAAGAAGCTCCTGAAAGCCCTAACTCCCCCCCAAAAAGCCCCAAAAGCCCCCAAATAGCCCTAAACCCCTCCCAAAAAAGCCCCCAACCCCCCCAAAACTCGGTGCCTCGGCCCCCACCTGCCACCCTTTGTGCTCCAGCTGGCGGGCGCCCCCGAAGAGGTGCGGCACGGCGCAGGGGATCACCCCCCAACTTGCGGGGTCGGCGCCCCCCGGCCCCTCCATGGTGTAGGTTTTGCCGCTGCCCGTCTGCCCGTAGGCGAAGATGCAGACGGGGTACCCGTCCAGGGACGACTGGGGGGGGACGGGGGGGGGTTTATAGGGCAAATGGGGGGAAAAAGGGGTCTTTTGGGGGAAAATAAGGGTCATTGGGGGGAGTTCAGGGGTAAACGGGGGCATTTGGCGTGGAAACTAGGGGGAAATAGGGCTCTTATGGGGGGGAAATGGAGGCGAAATGGGGGGAGTTCAGGGGCAAATGGGGGCGTTTGGGGTGGTGTAGTGGGTTTACGTGGCAAGGTTTTGGTAGCAGGGGGCCATAGGGGTGGTTTCTGTGAGAAAGATCTAGAAGCCGCCCCATGTTTGGGAAGGGCCCCGTTGTTTTCCAGATCTGAGCCAATAAGCGATGTTGTTTTGCGCCTCTGTGAGAGCATATTTAAGACAGGGAAAAAAACACTGCGCCACACAGCAGCCGGGAGAGTCAAGGGAGTGAGAAACAGCCTTGCAGGTGCCAAGGTCAGTGAGGAAGGAGGGGGAGAGGTGCTCCAGGCGCCGGAGCAGAAGTCCCCTGCGGCCTGTGGTGAGGCCCATGGTGAAGCAGGCTGTCCCCCTGCAGCCCATGGAGTACCACGGTGGAGCAGGGTTTCACGCTACAGCCCGTGGAGGAGACCACGGTGGAGCAGGTGGCCCTGCACCGATGGAGGCTGCCGCCTGTGGAAGACCCCTGCTGGAGCAGGCCCCGGGCCGGACCTGTAGCCCGTGGAGAGGAGACCATGCAGGAGCAGGTGATCTGGCAGGAGCTGCTGCCCGTGGGGAACCCAGGTTGGAGCAGTTTTCTCCTGAGGGATGGAGCCCGTGGTACGGACCCATAACTGGAGCAGCTCTGGAAGAGCTGCTGCCTGTGGGAAGCCCACGCCGGATCAGTTCATCAAGGACTGCATCCCGTGGGTGGGACCCCACAGCACAGGGCACGAGAGTGACTGAGAAGGAGCGGCAGAGAAGAAGTGCTGCAGACTGACCATAACCCCCATTCCCCCACTCCCCTGCGCCGCTCGGGGGGAGGAGGTGGAAGAGGGTGGATGGGGGGGAGGTGCTTTTGGTTTCTTTCCTTTGTTTCTCACTTCTCTAGCTTGTTAGTAATGAGCAATAAATCTTACTATCTGTCTTCTTATGCTGAGTCTGGTTTGCCCGTTACACTAATTATTGCGTGATTTTCTCGTCCTTATCTCAATCCTTGAGCCCCTTCCACATATTTTCTCCCCATTCCTCTTTGAGGAGGGGGAGTGAGAGAGCGGCTGTGGTGGAGCTCGGCTGCCCACTCGAGCGGAACCATGACAGGTGGAAACTGGGAGGAATGGGGGCACTTGTGGGGGAAATGGGTGGGAAATAGGGGTCTTTTGGGGGAAAACGGGGCAAATGGGGGCATTTGGGGTGGAAATAGGGGGAAATAGGGCTCTTTGGGGGGGGAAATAGGGTGGAAACTGGGGGGAATGGAGGCACTTGTGGGGGAAATAGGGGTCTTTGGGGGGAAATGGGGGCATTTGGGGTGGAAATAGGGGGGAATGGGGGCACTTGTGGGGAAAATGGGCAAAATAGGGGTCTTTGGGGGGAGTTCAGGGGCAAATGGGGGTGTTTGGGGTGGAAACTGGGGGAATGGGGGCAGAAACAGGCATTTATGGGGGAAATTGGAGCACTTAGGGTGGGAAGGGGGAGCTTTGAGGTCAGTTCGGGGAGAAATGGGGAGACTTTGGGGGGAGTTCAGGGGCAAACAGGGGGCTTTGGGGTGAAAACCGGGGGAAATAGGGACACTTTGGGGTGGAAATTTGGGAGCCTTTGGGGGGCAACAGGCAGAAATGGGGGCATTTATAGGGGAAATGGGGGGGCTTTGGGGTCAGTTCAGGGAGAAACGGGGGCCTTTGGGGGAGCGTGGGAAGGAAATGGGGGCACTTATAGGGGAAATGGGGGGCCTTTGGGGGTGGAAAAGGGGGAAATGGGATAGAAACAGGGGCCTTGGGGGGGAAATGGGGACTTTTTGGGGGAAACAGGGGCACTTTGGGAGCAGTTCAGGGGAAAATGGAGGCATTTTGGGGGAAACGGGGGCCTTTGGGGTCACTTGTGTCAAACGGGGGCGCTTTGGGGGGAAATAGGACATTTATGGGGGAAATAGAGGAAGACGGGGGAGTTTGGGGGGGGGAATGGGCAGAAACTGGGACCTTGGTGGGGAAAGAGGGGGATTTATGGGGGAAATGGGGGCAGTTTGGGGGGAAATGGGGAAAAAGGGGCTTTGGGGGACAGTTTGGGGGGGGTTGGGGGGGTAAATGGGGGGATTTATGGGGGAAAAAAGGTAGAAATGGGGACCCTGGGGAGCACTTGGGGGGGTTTGGGTGGCGATGGAGGCACTTTGGGGTGAAACACGGGGGAAACGGGCAATTTTGGGGAAAAGGGGGGGGTCCTTTATGGGGGGGCACCTGCACGAGCAGCGCGATCTCCTCGAAGACGTCCTCCTGCGAGGCGCCGGGCGGGAAGACGCGGTCGAAGCTGAAGTCGTAGCGCACCTCGCCCCGCCGCCCCATATGGGACTGGGGGGGGAAATTAGGGTCGGGGGGGGAAATAGGGTCAGGGGGGACGTGTCAGGATTTGGGGGGGTCACCACGAGCCCTATTCCCAGCCTGATGTGCAATACGGGGAGATATCGGGCTTATAGGGCCTCCTGCCCCTGTTATAGGGCCGCCCGCTTGTAGGGCCGTGGAGGATTTGGGAGCGGGAGCAGCAGGGGGTGCCCCCCCCCAGCCCTGATTTGGGGTCGGGGTACCCCAAATTGGCGCTCACCCCCTCGGTCCTGCAGAGCACCAGCGTCTTGTTGTCCTCGGGGGGGAAGTGGAGGTGCTCCAGCCCCTTCTGCGCCTCCTGCTCGGCCGCCAGCAGCGGGCGCACGTGGCAGAAGACGCGGATGTTCCCCTGGGGAGGGGGAAAAAAAAGGGAAAAAAAGGTATTTTGTAGAATATCGATGACTTGAAGAGGACTGGCCCTAAAACGGAGCCTTGGGGGATCCCAATGGTGACCTGATGTGGCCCCAGTTGCCACAGTCCTGAGCCCTGCCCGACTGCCACTTGTCAGACAGATGTTTCTGTATTTTTCTGTATTTATATATGGATATATAAGAAAAACTTTCAGAGTTAAATATTTATATTCTTATATACTCTTACAATTTTGAACAAAAAAACAGAAACGAACCATGACCATTCTGTTGTTTATAGATTTTGAGCAAAACCCCAAAAAAACTATGTATTTTTTTAATTTTGAGCAAGAAAAACTAAGCATTTTATATATTTTTTTTTAATTTGAGGGAAAATTAAGTGTTTTTTTTTTTTTACTGAGCAAAAAAATGTTTTTGTATTTTTAAAAATTTGGGGCAAAAACATATGTATTTGTTAAACTCTGAGCAAAAAAGCTCAAAAAATGAAATGAGTTATTCTATTTTAAATTTTGAGAAATAAAAGAAGTGTTCTTTTGACTTTTTAAAATTTCAATAAAAATCAAAAAAGAAAGATGATTTTTTATTTCAATTTTGAGCAAACTAAAAAAAGGTTTTGTTTTTCAGTTTCGAGAAAAAAGAATAAATTATATTTTTTAACTTTGAGGAAAAAACAGAAAGGAATGTTATTTTAAAAAAAAGTTTAAGCAAAAAAAACACTTTTTTTTAAATTTTGACAAAAACAAAAAATGAACGATTATTATTATTTATTATCAATTATTATTATTATTATTTTCATGTTGGGGCAAAAAATCCCCCGAAACGAATCCTGGTTTTTAAATTATTCTTGGTATTTTCAGTGTCAGCCCCCCCGGTGCACCTTGAGCTCCTGCAGCTGGTTGTGCAGGCGGAGCCGCTCCATCTCCAGCGCGTGCAAATGCTCCTCCTGCGCCGCCGCCAGCGCCCGCAGCTCTGACACCTCCGCCTTGCGCCGTGACAGCACCCCCGACACCTCCCGCAGCTCCGCCTGGGGGGGAAAGGCCCGACTCCGTTGGCCAAGAGGGGCGCCCAACGCCGTCGGCCAAGACGGGGGCGCCCAGAATTGGATGTAAAATATCAAAACTTTAGGGAAAAACCACACAGAACTTGGGTACCCCGTCCGCGAAGAGCTTGTAGAAAAAGCACCAAGAATTTTGGGAAATAACCTATAAAATCTTCGGGAAGAGCCCCCCAGAAAAACATGGGGAAAAACCATCCAGAATACGGGGGGAGGGGAAACCCACCAAGATTTGGTTGGGAAACACACAGAATTGGTGGAAACTCCCCCAAAGTTTGCGGGAAAAGCCAAGCAGAATTCGGGGAAGAGCCCCCAAAATCTGGAGGAAATGCCCCAATATCAGAAAGGGTTGGGGGGGAAGACGCCAATAATCAGGGGAGCCTAAGATAATAATTTAGGGGGGTACGGGGAATAATTTGGGAGAAGACAACAATTGGGGAAAAATCCGGCAAAACACCCCGAAATCGGGTAAAAAGCCCCCCGAAGCATCTCCAGCTGCGCTCCTCGCAGCCCATTTTGGGGCAGAATCCCGCGTTTTGCTGGTTTTGCCCCGTGGGGGGGGGGGAAATCAGCCTCGTACCCACCTGGGTGGCCCCCAGCTGCTCCTCCCGGTCCCGCGCCGCCTCCCGGAGCTCCTCCAGCTCCCGGTGCCGCTCCTGGAGCTCAGCCGCCAGCCGCTGCTGCTCGGCCGCCTGCGCCTCCGCCTCCCGCTGCCACCGGGACCGCTCCTCCCGGGACTGCTGCAGCTCCGTGCGCAGAGAGCTGGGAGGCACCGGGGGGGGGGTGCCGTTACCGGAGGGGGGGGGGGTCTCTGTTATCGGAGGGGGGGTCCCCGGGTATCGGAGGGGGAAGGGGAGGGGGCTTCCGTACCCTGAGGGGGGTTCCCAGTACCAGACGGGGAAGGGGGAGAGTCCCCGGTTACCGGAGGGGGGTCCCCGGGCACTGGAGGGGGAAGGGGACGGGTCCCCGGTTACCAGGGGTTCCCCTGTTACTGGAGGGGGGGTCTCCGGGTACTGGAGGGGGAAGGGGAGGGGTCCCCTGTTACCCGACGGGGGTTCCCGGTTAACGGAGGGGAAAGGGGGAGGGTCTCCGGTTACCGGGGGGGGGGGGGTCCCCGCTACCGGAGGGGATAGGGGGAGGATCACCAGTTATCCAAGGGAGGTCCCCGATATTAGGGGGGAAAGGGACAGGTCCTCTATTACCGGAGGGGGGGTGTCTCCGATACCTTACAGGGGTCCCCGGGTACCGGAGGGGGAAGTGGAGGGTGCTGCCATACCCAGAGGGGGGTTCCCGCTACCGGAGGGGGAAGGGGACGGGTCCTCTGTTACCGGGGGGGAGTTCTCGGTTACCGGAGGGGGGTCCCCGATACCGGAGGAGGAAGGAAACGGGTCCCCCGTTACTGGAGGGAGGTCCCTAGGTACAGGAGGGGTCAGGGGACAGGTCCCCGGTTACCGGGAGGGTGCAAACCGGTACCGGGGGGGGGGATGTTACCGGGGCTCTCACCTCACTTGTCTGCCCAGCTCCTCCTCCCGGGCCCGGCTGTGTTGCAGCTGCTCCCGGAGCTGCCGGTTGTCATCCTCCAGGCCCCTTATCTTCTCCCGCAGCTCCGCCAGCTGCCCCCTCGGGTCCCCCGCCGCCGCACCCCCGGTACCGGAGGCGGCGCTGCTAATCCCGAAGCCGCCCCCGGGGCCTTCTTCCCGGCCTGGGGGGCTGCGGCGACGGTCATGGCCTTGCAGAGAAGCCCTGGGGGGGGCACGGGGGGGGGCACCGCGACCGAACGGTGGAACCGGGACCCCCCCGGTACAACCAGGACCCCCCCTGGTGCCGCCCTACCTGGGCCTGGTGCCGTCGGGACGCTGATAGCCCGCAACGGGGCGCGGCTGCTGGGAGCCCAGCCCGCTCGGGGCCCGGAGCAGCGCCGTTTCTACGGGAGAACGGGAGGGTGAGACCGGAACCGGCACCGGGAACGGCACCGGGAACGGGAGCGGGGCCCAACCTGTTCGGGAGCCTCCGGCTCAGGCGCGGCCGCCGCGCGCTTGGCGTGGGCCTTGCGCACCGGTAACCGGGAGGCGGCCGGAAGTGACGCAGCCGCCGCCGTGGCTGGTACCGGGTGGGCGCCGCCGCCCGCCGCCGGGCCTTGCCGCCATTGCTGCGCGCGCACTCAAACCGCGCCCGCCCCGCGCTCCCATTGGGCGCCGCCTCCGCCAATCGCCGCGCGCCGCCCCGGGGCGCCAGCCAATAGGGAGGCGCGCGGGGCGTCACGTGGCCGCGCCCGCCGGGTAACAGCCGGCAGGGAGGGAGGGGGGAGGCGGGGCTTTAGAAGTAGAGGGCGGGGCTTAGGCGGTGGGGGCGGGGTTTGGGGTTTGGGGGCGGGGTTTAGGGGCTGGGGGCGGGGTTTGGGGAAAAGGGGGCGCGGTTTGGAGCCGGGGGGGGCGGGAGCAGGGCCGGTCCCCGGTGGGGGGAGGGGGAGGGGGCCGGTGTCGCAGTCCCTCCGCGCCCCCCTCTGGGCCCCCCCCCGCCGCCGCTGCCACCGCTGCTGCGTCACGGCCCTGCCGCTCGGCCCCACCGCCTCCAGTAAGGAACCCCACGGGACACCCCTCAAAAAAAAAAAAAAAAAAAAACAACCCGGTCTCATGCCCCCCCCCCCGAGATCCGGGCTCGGGACCCCCCCCCCCGGGTCATAGGCACTGCGTCAGCGCTGCCCCCCCCTTCAAACACCGCCCCCCCCCAAAAAAAAATGCCCCCCCAAAAAAATGGGAGCCCTCCCCAAAATGGGAGCCCCTCCCACAAAATGGGAGCCCCCCTCCTTTAAAATGGACCCCCCCCAAAAAAATCGGAGCCCTTACAAAAAGTGCGGCACCCCCCCAAAAAAATTGGACCCACCCCAAAAAGAAATTGGACCCCCCCCATAAAAAATTGGACCCCCTAAAAAGAAATTGGACCCCCCTCATAAAAAATTGGACACCCTCCCATAAGAATCTGACTTCCCCCCAAAAATTTGGACCCCCCCCAACCGGTAGTGCCCCCCCCCGCCAAACTCTGTCTCCCCCCCCCCCGGTTTAGGACCCGCCCCCCTTACCCTACCCCAAATGCCCCCCCCCCCAGCTGGGACCCCCCCCAATCTGCCCCCCCCCGAATACCCTACCTGCCCCCCCCCCCATTCCAGGACCCCCCAAAATGCCCCCCCATACCCTACAGGAGCCCCCCCATCTGTGCCCCCCCCATATGTTTCATGACCCCCCCCCTCATATTTTGGGACCCCAAAATGCCCCCCCACCCCCCATATGTTGCAGGAAGCACGGGCGAAAGCATGACAGACACCAGCAGAGTCAGATCGTGCTGCTCCCTTTTATTGCCCGAATAGCCTAAATTTTATAGTGAACTTTACAGGGGCGGACAGTGTTTCACACAAGATTATTTGTCAAAAGCACTCAGACAAACAACTAGAAGAAAACAACCCCACCTGCAAGAAAAGAAACCCCCTTTTGATTAGCAGTCAGGAAAACAACCCCCTTTGTGATTAACGGTCACGTAGACCTAGTCTTTGAGGCCAGCTGCTGGTAACAGTATTTTCTGAGTTCCTTAATTGGGCGATGTGGGAACACTGTCATGGGAACTTCTCATAGTTGCCCTGGTAGCTTGGTTTGCTCAGCTACAGCAAGCCATGGGATTTTTGCTGTTCCAAGAAATCCCTCAACACACATGCAACTAGGCAAAGAAAGTAAGGCTGAAAGCAGGATTGCTACCTTGGACTTTCGAAGAGCCAACTTTGACCTCTTCCGGGACCTGCTTGGGAGTATCTCATGGGATAGGCTGCTAGAAAGCAAGGGTGCTTGTGAGAGCTGGGCTACATTTAAGCAGCACTTCTTCCATGCTCAGGATCGGTGCATCCCAAGGAATAGGAAATCGGGGAAGGGGGGCAGGAAACCTGTGTGGATGAGCAAGGAACTCATCAATAAGATCAAATGGAAGAGGATGGTCTGTGAAATGTGGAAAAAGGGCCTGTCCTCTTGGGAGGAGTATAGATGTGTTGTCAGGGCCTGCAGGGATGCGACCAGGAAGGCTAAAGCCCACCTAGAGATGAGGCTTGCGAAAGAGATAAAGGATAATAAGAAGGGTTTTTTCAAGTACGTAAACGGCAAGAGGAAGACTAGGGATAATGTGGGTCCCTTGCTGAATGAGGGGGGTTTCCTGGTCAAGGGAGACGTTGAGAAGGCAGAGATACTGAATGCTTTCTTTGCGTCAGTCTTTGCTTCAAGGACACTCCCCCGGGACTCCTCGCCCCTGGCAATAGGACAAAGGGTCTGGGAAATGGAGGGCTCCCCCCTGGTGGACGTGGGAGTGGTTCGGGAGCGTCTGTGTGGGCTCAACACACACAAATCCCTGGGTCCTGATGGGATGCATCTGCGTGTGCTAAGGGAGCTGGCAGATGTGATCGCCAAACCGCTCTCTATCATCATTGAAAGGTCCTGGAGAATGGGTGAGGTGCCTGAAGACTGGAGGATAGCCAAAGTCACTCAGAAGTGACCTCATAGGCCCTTTCTGTGACATGTTGCTGCTGTTGCCCTATCAACTGCAGAGGCAGAAGTGACCTCACAGTCCCTGCCACAGTCACATTCCTCCTGCTGGGGCAGGAGATCCTGAGGCAGAGTTGAGGTCATCAGAGCATTTCCTCTCATCTCCTCCTTGTCGCCTACAAGCAGATCAAATCCATGGCCCCTCACATTCATCTTTGAATGCCGTGTGACTGCATGGAGTGGGTTTACGTGGTACGGTTTTGGTAGTGGGGAGCCATAGAGGTGGCTTTGGTGAGAAGAATCCAGAAGCTGCCCCATGTTAGATAAGGGCCCCACTGCTGGCCAGAACTGGGCCAATAAGCGACATTGTTTGCACCTCTGTGAGAGCATATTTAAACAGAAGAAAAAAAAAAAAAGCAAAAAAAAAAAAAAAAAAGCTGCTGTAGAACAGCAGCTGGGAGAAAGAGAGGAGTGAGAAATAGCCTTGCAGGTGCTAAGATCAGTTATGAAGGAGGGGGAGACGTGCTCCATGTCCCGGAGCAGAAGTCCCCTGCGGCCTGTGATGAGGACCATGGTGAAGCAGGCTGTCCCCCTTCAACCTGTAGAGGAGACCATGGTGGAGCAGGTGGACCTGCACTGACAGAGGTTGTAGTCTGTGGAGGACCTCTGCCAGAGCAGATTCCAGGCCAGACCTGTAACCCGTGGAGAGGAGCCCACGCAGGACGAGGTGACCTGGCAGGAGCTGCTGCCCGTGGGGGACCCAGGTTGGAGCAGTTTGCTCCTGAGGGATGGACCCCATGGTCTGGAGCAGTTTTTGATATCTTGCCTCCTGACCTCCCCAAATATGTCCTTGTGTTTGGGGCAGCTTTTCAAACATTGCCATGACCTGCAAGATCCTGTCTCCCTGCATGGGGACGGTCAGTTTCTGAGACAGAAGTGACATCTTAGTGGGATGGAAGGACACAGCATGCTGTAGGCAGGCCCTGCACAGCATGCGTAGCAGCCCTGCACAGCCCCTGAGGGGCCCAGCCCCAGTTCGTGCCCCCCAGCTTGTGCTCCTGAAGGGCTCCCCTAGGTCCTGTGTCACTTTTCCCACCTGGGTCCCTCGGCTATCCAAGGAAATCTTGGAGGCAGTGTCCACCTCTGACTGGAAAACTGAAACCAGCCATGAAAATAGACTGAGGAAACAGTTCAAAGCTGTGCAAAAAAAGGATTCTAAGTAATAGCTGAAATAATCTCCCTTGCCAGCACCACCAGCTTTTTTTTTTCTCTGAATGTTCATTATTTATTTACACAGTTTTCCACTGACAACACCATGGAGAAGTGCAATAAATCAAATTATGCTTCCTTGAACAATAGTTTTATGCAAACATTTAGGAAAATACATTTTACATAAACACACATTTACCAAAACACATTTCCCAACAATTCTAATGCTTCTTTCTTTTTTTCCTTTTTTTTTTTTTTTCTCCTCCATTTCTTCTGTCCTTGAAGAGCACTCTGAGGGAGAGTCATTGCATTAAAGATTAATGCATGTTTAAAAGACTGAGATTGAGAAATACGCTCCATGCCATCATGAAGGGAGATAACAAAGAGTGTCAACAGTGTTGGCCCAAGTGCCCATCACTGAGGGATGCTGCTGGTAACTGGCTGAAAGGAGGACTTTGTACCACTGACACCTTGCCCCCGAAAACATCATCCCCTTTTTCAGTCCAAATATCACCAGTGTGGCTAAAGGGAACCCCAGGAAACCATGGCAAAGGCCTTGCTAAAGTGCAGGTTCACCTCGTTCCCTTCTTTCCCCTCCCCTTCTGTTTCAGCAGTTCCTTTGGTTCCTCCAACTGCCTGAAGATGGCTGCGGCAGGACTTTCCCTATCACATTCCCAGGGTTAGAGGTGACAATTGCAGTTCTGCCAATCCTTTTTCTTGCCCTTCCTGAAGATGCGTTTGATGCCCACATTTTTCAAGTCCCCAGAAATCTTGCTGATCCAAATGCCTGACAGCCCGGTCGAGAAAGGCGGGGTAGTGTGACATAACAGAGAGGGGCATCTGCAATGAACCTGTGCAAAAGGGTTTCCAGGAATCTCACAGGGACACTGGGGGTTGTTCCTGGAATCACACAGGGCAATGGCAGGGCTGTGTGAGGTGTCCACATCTGAGCAGACCTCATACACACAGGCCTTTAGAGAGAGCTCCTGCAGTCACTGCCAGAGGCTGGGAGGCACCTCAGCCGTGGGGTGCCTCGCCCTGCTCTGCTCTCCTCTGAGATACCCCAGGACATGAGGAATGGACACAGAGACCTCGGTTCAAGGAGGCACGTCCCAGAGCTGCCTTCAGGTGGCTTCGCAGGGGACGTTACTTGGCCTTGTGACGCTATCTGCCCAGCTGGCCTTCATGAGACTTCTAGGAGTAGCTGATGGCCTTTGTGCTCCTTCGTGTTCATCTCTCCACACACATATGATGTGCCTGCCAGCACCAGCATTGGGTTTCTCTTTCAATGTCTCCCATGCACATACAGCAGGCCCTGCTCTTCTGGGAAATCTTATCCCCCAAGAAGCAATGAGCAATAGCCTGGCCAGCCATTGCTGAACTTACTACCCACACCTCTGAGCTTGTGATGGCACTCTCCAGAGTATGAAAAATTATTAAAAAGAAAACCTTGTTCCTGCAATGCATTCTGAGTCATATGCAGAAGACAATAGGCTTTTTTTTTTTTTTTTTTTTTTTTTTAATATTAGTTCATCAGTTTCCTCAAGGCATCCTTGAGCTCCTGGTTCCTCATGCTGTAGATGACGGGGTTCACTGCTGGAGGCACCACTGAGTACAGAACGGATACCACCAGGTCAAGGCATGGCGAAGAGATGGAGGGGGGCTTCAAGTAGGCAACCATGACAGTGCTAACAAACAGGGAGACCACGGCCAGGTGAGGGAGGCATGTGGAAAAGGCTTTGTGCCGGCCCTGCTCAGAGGGCATCCTCAGCACCACCCTGAAGATCTGCACATAGGACACCACAATGAAAACAAAAGAACCAAAGACTAAGGAAAAACTGAAAACAAGTAGCTCAAATTCCCTGAGGTAGGCATCTGAGCAGGAGAGCTTGAGGATCTGGGGGATTTCACAGAAGAACTGCTCCACAGCATTGCCATGGCAGAGCGGCAGGGAAAATGTGTTGGCCATGTGCAGGATACTATACAGAAAGCCACTGCCCCAGGCAGCTGCTGCCATGGTGGCACAAGCTCTGCTGCCCAGGAGGCTCCCATAGTGCAGGGGCTTGCAGATGGCAACGTAGTGGTCATAGGCCATGACAGTGAGAATTGAAAACTCTGAACCAAAGAAGAAGACGAAAAAGAGGACTTGTGCAGCACAGCCTTGATAGGAGATGGCCCTGGTGTCCCAGAGGGAATTGGCCATGGCTTTGGGGACAGTAATGGAGATGCATCCCAGGTCGAGGAGGGCGAGGTTGAGGAGGAAGAAGTACATGCGGGTGTGGAGGCGGTGGTCGCAGGCTATGGCGCTGAGGATGAGGCCGTTGCCCAGGAGGGCAGCCAGGTAGACGCCCAGGAAGAGCGCGAAGTGCAGGAGCTGCAGCTCCCGTGTGTCTGCAAATGCCAGCAGGAGGCACTCGCTCACAGAGCTGCTGTTGGGCATTTTCTGACATTGAACACAGTTGTCTGTTGAAAAAGAGAAGGCAGAATAAAGTTAGAAGAGACTTCTCTGAGGAAAACATTTTGAAAGTCTTAGAGCACTCTCATCCCAAGCCTCTCTCTTTGCAGGAGAATCTTTCTGCAGCTCTACCGCTTGAGTCCCGGCTGATTCTTTCTGAGGCTGACAGTGGGAGCGGGGATTCCTGTGGCTCCAGAGGAGTCTGTCCTGCTGTGAAGCATTCAGGAAGCAGGAACAAGGGGGAACCTGAAGTTCAGTCCACTTATAAGATCCATGAACTTCGCAGTGTTGTTGCAAAGAACACCTCCCTCCAGTATAGAGCAAGGCAGATTTTCTTATGCTGAGTACAACAAGCACACTACTGTTTCCCAGTATGTAGAGAGCTTAAAGCAGAGAAGCCCCAGTCCCACTGCAGATGGACAGAATCCTCACCTTGTCTGCAAGTGCATGAGCAGGATCTCAGCTTCTCCCTCTTTGCTAGGGCTACAGAGGCCTCACTCCAGCTGCCCACAGACAGCCAGTCAGCAGCAAGGACATGGCCTTAGTGCAGAGGTGTCTTCTCCTTGTGGCACCTGGAGAACACAAGGATGCCAAGAGAGAGCTGCATCCTGCTGGAGAGCAGCCTGAAGACCAGGAGAACACCCCATGGACAAACATGAATATTCATAAGCTGGCCTGTCCCAGCATCCCAGCTTCATCCCTTCACCGTCTGGAGGAGGCTTAGCACTTGGCTCCTGGCTGTCCAGGGGAAGCTGGGTTATGGCTCTCCATGGACTTTCTGCCAGACGTCCTCACCTCACAGTGCAATCCAGCAGCAGTCTCAAAGCCTACTGCATTGCCCACTGCCCTCCCAGAAACAAGACCCAGGAGGAGACACTTCCAGGACCTGCAGCTGCATGGCCCTGCAGCCAGACATTTACCTTGTCAAGGGCTGTGCAGATTTCTCCTGCAGGCAGCTCTCAGCATCCACCCACTCCCAACTGCCTCCAAGTCCTCTCTCTTTCTCTCCTCTCCCCGTGCCAGCTGCGGTCAGAGCCCCCAACCCTGCTGTGCTGTGCAGTGGAGCTGCTCCTGGGCAGAACTGTCTCTCTGCACCAGATCCCTCTTGCCAGGAGCAAGACTCAAAGAAAAAAGAAAGACTGGATTTGGAGACGTGGCATTTTTCAGGCTCAAGACTGGCGAACTATCCCTGATTAAACTGGTGCTTTTCAGAACTATTTTCCAACCTTTTTGCCATTTGAGTTTCTCATTGTTGGAGAAAAATGTGTGAATGGCAATACTGTCTAATAAGCAATAAAATGAGAAGAGATAATGTGTTATTCAGACTCTGAAAAACAAATCTGAAAGTTGTTTTTTTTTTTTTTTGTTTGTTTGTTTTGTTTTTGTTTTTCCTTGATATTTTGTCTCAGTGCTAAGATGCTTGAAACAGGATCTAATCACATTCCCTGCATGGGTATGATCTTCAGTGTTTCTGTTCAGATTTTTTAAAATCGTTGCAAACATCTACTGACAGTATCCATTTAGAACGTTTCTCAGATCTTTCCTGTACTGATAATTATTTGGCAGGGACCAGGACTTGCTACTACAAGACTGTTGTATACTAGGGTGAGACTACTATCAACGGAAGGAGGAATTTGTTGGCTTATCGGAAATCCAGAGGAAACCAGCTGTGAGGCCTACCATTGAACACTGCTCTATGAATGCCAAGCAACATCTAAAATGTTAAAAATAGGCTTCAGTCCTTAGAACCATAGGCTTTCAAACCTCAACATTTGTTCTAATTGTCTTGGTGTGAGAAAGCTACTGATACTCTCATTTCTTGAGTAGTTGCAGGAAGAGAAAGTCTGAGCCTCTTGCCGTGTCATGGGTTTACGTGGCAAGGTTTTGGTGTTAGGGGGCCACAGGCGTGGCTTCTGTGAGGAGGATCTAGAAGCTGCCCCATGTTTGGCAAGGGCCCCACTGCTGGCCAGAGCTGAGCCAGTAAGTGATGTTGTTTTGCGCCTCTGTGAGAGCAGATTTAAGAAAAAAAAAAAAAAACACAACACTGCGCCACACAGCAGCTGGGAGAGTGAGAGGAGTGAGGAACAGCCTTGCAGGTGCCAAAGTCAGTGAGGAAGGAGGGGGAGAGGTGCTCCAGGCACACAGCACAAGTTCCCCTGCGGCCTGTGGTGAGGCCCACGGTGAAGCAGGCTGTCCCCCTGCAGCCCATGGAGTACCACGGTGGAGCAGGGTTCCACGCTGCAGCCCGTGGAGGAGCCCACGCAGGAGCAGGTGACCTG